AAAAAATTGTGGTAATCTGTTTTCATGTAAATTTTATTAAGTTTTTGATAAAGTTCGTTTTGTTTTAAAGACTAAGAAGTTTTTTGTTTGCTAATAAGTGTTTATTAATCACGGTAAGTTCAATTCACCTTATATCGTTTTTTGGTAACTTTTGGTGACTATACAATATTACAATTTGGTATACATGGTTAAACAGAAAAAATATGAGATCTTTTTATTTTCAGTTGGAGTTTCGTTTTTAACAATGCCACCAACCTAGACGTACTTAGGCCGCAGAACTCGAAATACGTCCAGTCAAAGAAATATAAGAGCAAATCAAACAAATGAGCAACGCGAAGGGCAAAATGAACTACAAAGGAATCGAAATCAACATAGAAATGTTGTGTTTAATCCCCACAGAGCTGCATTCTGTTATGTGGCAATTGATTACAGTTCAGAGCAAATTGTTGCTATTGGACTAATGAATATTGTGTGTCCACATTGCAATGCATTGAAATTCAAAAATGAAGCCCCTGGATTGTGTTGCGCCAACGGCCAAGTCAAATTGACACCATTGGTACCACCACCAGAGCCACTACACTCATTGCTTTCCAGAAATGGGCCAGATTCAAATCATTTTTTGACTCATATCCAGCAATACAATAATTGCTTTCAAATGAGATCATTTGGCGCAACAAAAGTTATTCGAGACAATTTTATGTCTACTTCCAAAGTAAGTAAGTATAATGGCAAACAATTTTATTTAGTTTCACAACCATGTAGCTGGTGCAAAATATGTTGAGCCAGTGCTGTGTAGATGTGTTTACAAAGTGTTCCAATACTTGGTAAAGCCTACTACCTAAAGCTGCCATGGAAGGCTACTGTTCAATGTTGAGGTTTAGTTTTAATTTGAAATGATCTATAAAGTATTTTGGCAGTATTTTGCGAGCCACATGGTGGTACAAACAATTTGCTATACAATTACCTAAATACATATTTATATTCTTGCAGATTCATGGTCAAATCTATCATCGAACAGGTTCCTTATCGCCAATGCCTGATGAAGACTATTAATTTTTGCAAATATATTTTATGGGCGATTTGAAACACATCGATCATATGATGCCTTACAATATCCTATCCTATTTTAGGAAGGTGAAGACGGCTATCATTTTTCAATTAAGATGATAAATCCAGTTACAGGTAAATTAATTAACAATATATGTTTACCACATTAAAATATATGTTTACTAACTTAAAATTTATATTATTAAATTAATAACAAAAAAAAAATGTTTATAGGTGCTGAAACGAACAAAAAATTTAGTTCAATGAATTATTATTCATACAGACTGATGGTTCGGGAAAATGAGGACAATCACATCTTAAAGTTACTTCGTCTATTTCACCAATATACTGTGGATATGTATGTGAAAGTTGAAACTGAACGATTGACATTTATCAGGTTGAACCAGACAAAATATATTCATCTTCGGGATGCCATTAATGCTGATGACTGATGATGATGCTGACAACTATTCTCCCAGCAACATACGTCGGAAGCCCGCGACATATGCATGAATATGCTCAAAATGCTATGTCTTATCTACGACATTATGGCAGACCAGATTTGTTTATCACATTCACATGCAATCCAAAGTGGACAAAAATTCAACAAGAATTATTTTTTCAAAATTAAATTAAAATCACTCATGGATWTTATTGTTAAGCATCGCGTGTTCAGCGAGGCGCGCTGTTGGATGTACCCAGTTGAATGACAAAAACGCGGATTGCCTCATGCACATATCCTCATTTGGTTGGGTGAGAGGATAAAACCGAATGAAATTGATAATGTGACACCAGCAGAAATTATCGATAATAATGAAGACCCACTGTTACATGAGGTTATTACAAAAAATATGATACATGGTCCATGTGGAATATTAAATCCCATTTCATGTATGGTTGAAAGAAAATGTTCAAAACGCTACCCAAGACAATTAGTAACAGAAACTATTACTGGAAATGATGGATATCCACTTTATCGCCGCCGATCCATTGATGACAATGGAAAGTCAACAATAGTCAAAGTAAATCGACAGGACATTGAAGTTGACAATCGTTGTTTTGTCCCGTTTTCGCCATTACTCTGCAAGGAACGACACTATACTGTTGTTCACTTGGCCGTACATTTGGAAAATGGTCAACGGGTGTATTTTATAGATGCAAACGTATTACAACGAGTTGACAGGCCACCATCGACAACATTAACCAGCTTCTTTGAAATGAGCCAGAGTGATGATTTTGCCAGAACGCTACTTTACTCCGAAATACCAAGATATTATACCTGGAATCAATCATCCAAAAAATTTGAACGACGAAAACGAGGACATCCAGTTTCAGATTACCCACAAGTATTTTCCACCGATGCACTAGGCCGTCTTTATGCAGTCCATCCTAATCAAGACGAGTGTTTTTATTTGCGTTTATTGTTAGTCAATGTTCGTGGTCCAACATCATTCCAACATCTGCGAACTGTTAATGGTGTATTGTGTGACACATACAGAGAAGCCTGTCAACATTTGGGATTGTTAGAGAATGACACCATTGGGACCACACTCTCGAAGATGCTGTGATTTCGTCAAATGCTAAACATATACGAACATTATTTTCTATAATTTTGTCTACATGCAGCACCGACTGATTTATGGCATAAATACAAAGATCATATGGCGGAAGATATATTGCATCAGATGAGTCTTAGAACATCGAATGCAGATTTGCAAATGAACGAAGAAATTCACAATGAAGCATTAATTTTAATTGAGGACATGTGCTTAATGCTTACCAAAAAAGTATTAATACAAATAGGAATGATAGGACCCAATCGCCCAATGTTCGACTCATATGATCAAGAATTGAGACGCGAAGCCCCCAATACGATTCCAAAACATTACGAGAAATGGTTGATAGAACAAATCAACAACAAAAATGTGCTCATGAAAGTAGTGAACGATGGAACTGGCGGATTTTATTTTTTAGATGCTCCCGGTGGAACTGGGAAAACTTTTTTGTTATCATTGATTTGGCAACAATTCGATCGCAAAATGGAATTGCACTAGCCCTAGCTTCATCAGGTATTGCAGCTACGTTGTTGGAAGGCGGTCGAACAGCTCATTCAGCTCTCAAGCTGCCGTTGAACCTTCAAATTAATGAAACTCCAACTTGCAACCTTTCGAGAAATTCTGCGATGGCCAAAGTGCTGCAGCAAATAAGATTGATTATTTGGGATGAATGTACGATGGCACACAAAAATCTTTGAAGGCATTCGATCGCTCGACGCAAGATTTACGAAATAACAAAAACCGGTTTGGTGGTGCAATAACACTATTGGTAGGTGATTTTCGACAAATATAGCCAGTTGTCCCACGCTCAACGCCAGCTGATGAACTGAATGCATGTTTGAAGTCGTCCATTTTATGGAAATACATTAAAACACTTAAATTAAGTATAAACATGAGAGTCGAATTGCAGGAAGACCAGTCTGGAGAAGTGTTTTCCAAGCAACTGCTCAATATTGGTAATGGTATTATTGCTGTTGATACACTTGTGCTCACACAATTAAGCCACATAAACGTTATAGTGTACAAATTCATAAAAGTTGAATTTTATTGATAAATCGAAAAAAAAAGTTTCACAAAATTAAAAGAAAGTACTTAAACTTTATTGTACTTATAGTTTTTTAAAGGTAAATTTTAATGTAAAAGC